TCTTCAGTCTGGCTGCGTCTTTGCTGGGTTCAAACCCAGTTTGGTGTAATTGAATAAGTCAATGAATCTGTGTAAAAGAATTAAGTTGTAAAAATTATTTGTTTTTGTACATCAATTGTTTGTGGAGGTAATATAGAGTCTGTCTGTGGAAATCCACAAATTAATGACAGTAGATAGGGAAATGTAGTTTATATAATTTGTTTTGCTTATAGTTACACAGTCTAGAGAGTAAAACTGACATTTATGAGTTAATTTCTAAAAATATATTTTACGTTTCTCTCTTCTTATCAGGGAGGGCGGTGCCCCAGCGCCCCCTATGGGCCGGCCGCCACTGCTGTGAACTAATAGTCTCTAATGGCTAAAGAAGTTGAGCAATAGCTTACTGCTTATGTTAAGAACAGCAGATAAAAAATATTTTATATAAACTTATATACAGGTACAAAGAAAAAACATATAAGAAAAAGGACATTTAAGCGGAAATATTCAATTGCAATCTGCAATTTTGAGCAAGCATAGGAGAGAAAAGTATCACTTTATTTTAAACAGGACTTTTTTTAAGTAGACAAACTTTTCTTTTTTATGTCTCAATGATAAACGATGGACAGCATGGTAGTACAGGTTGTAGCACTAATGCCTTGCACCAAGAAGATTCTGGGTTTGAATACCTGGTTAGGGTTTTTCTTCATTGAGTTTGCATGTTCTCCCTGTGCATCCATGGGTTCTCTCCAGGTACTCTGGCCTCCTTCTACAATTCAAAAACATATGTACCTTTGCCATGCATAAGATTCTATTTTATATGCAATTGAACTGTTTATACTACTCCTGACTTGAAGTTACCAATGGAAAAATAAGCTTTTAGGCTAATATTAGGCTAAAAGTCATGTAGCTTGTTACTAACTCAAGTTTTTCCGTAAAAATTCAAAAAATATCCACTGGACTTGGTTTCCAAGATTTGAAGACGTTTCGCCACCTCTCCAGGAAGCTTTCTCAATTCAAATCCTGGAGAGGTGGCGAAACGTCTTCAAATCTTGGAAAACAAGTCCAGTGGATATTTTTTTTAATTTTTACGGAATGACTATGACCTAGATGACTGAGAATCTTCATCAGCATAACTCAAGTTTATTAAAGTAATGTTTTATTGAGGTAATTAATATTATCAAGGACAAAATACTGAAGGGAGTTTGTCTCCATCCTCAAAACTGCAGCAGCACCTAGGGCCACAAGTGGCTTATGCAGAGATGGGAAGTAACGAAGTACAAATACTTCATTACTGTACCCAAGTAGATTTTTCTGATATTTTTACTTTACTTTACTTCTTATTTTTATGGCGACTTTTTACTTCTACTCCTTACATTTTTACACAAATATCTGTACTTTCTACTCCTTACATTTTAAAAAATTGGCTCGTTGCTTTAGTTTTGAATCATTTCAATGGAGTTACAGTTATTATTTTTTACGTCATCAATACCAAATTCAATCTAATTGGATGGGAATATACGTTGCATTTGACGCACCACTGCAAGATGAATCCGCAGATTCAGCAGTATTCATTCTCAGCAAATCATTGCAGCTTGGTGGCGGTAGCGTTACCGTTAGCATAGAAGTATGGACGACGAGAGGATGGAAAGTGAAAACAACGGAGATCCCAGAGATTCGGCAGAAAAGCAGCAAGACATTCACGATCACCCTTGGCCTTATCTGAAAGAGATGTTTGACATAGTAGGCATCAAGAATGACTCCTGGCGAATGTGCTGCAAATTGTGCCAACCAAAACACCATGAACTGCTGGCTTTCAAGAATTCACCATCGAATTTGAAAAAGCATATAGAGGTAAATGCGTATTTTTGTTGTTATCAAAAGCTATTTGTTGTTTGTTGTCTTTATTAAGTGTACGTTAATGGTCAGTTATATTTGTCCTTCTGCTAGCTTACAATTACCATTACTTGATTCTCTAGCATTTTGCTAGCAAGTAACTCAAATTACGTTAGGTTAGCAAGTGTTCACTTTATTTGAAATTCTAATACTAGCTGGCTGATACAATATCTATATGTATGTATGTATGTTGACCTGCTCAAAATGGACGCTAACATTTTTTACACAACTATGAATGCTGAGACAAGAACGTTGAGGCATAAAGAAGAAGCCCCGGTTAAACACAATAAAACAAGCCTCATCACTTTTACAAACCACCCTGTTTGTTTGTGGCTAGCTGTAGCAAGAGGCGAGGAGAAGAAGGAAAGCTTACTTGTTTTTCGATTATGGCTGTTATTCTCCTGTGGTGTAGCTGTCTGTTTTCGAGACCACTTAAGTTAACGTTACTCGGTCTTGTCTTAAATCGACTTTATTTTGGGCTGATGTTAACGTTAATGTCTCAAACATCCCAGACGTTAAATTACTCATGTTTTTAATTCAAGACTTTACTTTTCTATGGGGCCAAAATTGTTGCTTTATTATTTACAAATGTGTGTGGAGAGTTGTATATCTGTATCTCGATTTGTGCGTGTGCAGGGGGATTTGAAAATGTGTAAATGAAACTGTAAATGTGTGAGGTGATTTGTGTGTCTGTACAACAATCTGCAAATGTGCAAAACTACTTGTGTGTGTGTAATCTGGTTTGCAAATGTGTAAAAAATCCACAAATCTGTATTACAGATTTTACAGATACAAATGCGGCAGAAGTGTAGCAAAAATCACGTGTGTAAAGAGAGCCAACCGAGAAACCGCTGGACTTATAACCAATGATGTGTCTGTATTTCTGGGTGTTGAAGCGAAAATACTTCGGACACAGTGTCTCTCTGTGTGCTTACAGATTGTTCTACACATTTGCAAATCTTACTACAGATTTGTAAATCTGAATACAGATTTGTAAATCTCAGTACATATTTGTAGATCTGAATATCAGAATTTGTTTGCTTTGGGGTTTTTTTTTATCTTTTATTTGTAAACAGCTCCATTTTGTGTTTTTTTTATATTAGGGGTAATAACAGAAGTTTTGCCAGCTGCAGCATTAAACTGCAAAAGATGAAACAAAAACAACAAGATGAAAATGATACTTTTTTTACTTAAGTGTATTATTTTGAGTTGGTAAATAGGTTGATCCATCAATGGAATGAATATTTCTGCCTTTATAATGAGATGTATAATGTGTATTTCTGCTCCCGGGTCAAAATGGCGGGCTGGGGCTGGGAAAGAAATGAAAGATTGCAAATGTGCTTCAGCTCTACCTTTCATGTTTACTTCTGTAAACATAGAACACGCTCCCTTGTGACACTTCAGTTGAATGAATTCAGTTCACACAGAAGATTACATATTTGGAAATGAGATCTACCACGCAAAAGAATCAGATTTCCTAAAAAAATCTGAACTGTGCGTCAATGCCTGCAGTGTGAACGTAGCCTTTAACGTGTTCATCCAGACATGACAATGGCCGAGGTTCCAGAAGTTCATTTAAAGCTGCTTAATTTATTCCAAAACCAGTTTAAATGTGAGTTTAGGATCATCAATCCATTGAAATCAATTTTCCCCTTTTCCTTTGATAGAAGATAGAGCCGGAAACATTAACTAGTTGGTTTCTGCTAAAAGGAGTGAGCAATGCAACCCTGAGGGACCAAGTGTGGTAGAGATATAAAGGTATAGTTTAAAGAAGAGAAAATCACCTTAAAACCAAGTTTTATTCAAATTAACCAAAGCTGTTTGCCTTTGGGTTCACTAAGCATTTAGTTCCTGCTCTCTTCCTAGTTGATTGAATTTTTTACTGTTTTATTTTAACACTAATCTTTAATTATCCTCCCATATTTGTTTGTTGTTCTTTGTGTGGCTCAGTGTTGATGTGTCCCTTCTGCTCTGCTGCTAAACTCCCAGATTGTCTATAAGGTCAATAAAATTAGAAGAACTGCAGTAGGAAAGTCTCACTGTCCTTATTTAAGGCTAATTTGTTTTGACACTGCAAGGTGACAAGAACAATTGTTCTATTAACATGAGCTGTCAGGTCAGACCCCCCAACAGGGAAACAATAATAACCACCAATCTGCCAAAGCGCTGTACTATAGTAATATTAGGACTCTTGCTCCATTTGACTTCAGTTTGGTTTATTTATAAAGAATCAGTTTACAACAACTTATTTCAAGACACTTTACCAGAAAATACAAACAGATCCTGTTCACATTACTGCAATGAAACCTTTATTATAGTGAGAAATAACAGATGAAGATAAAACGACAGGAAGCATACTTAAACAGAACCAGACCCAGTAAGGAGATTTAATATAAATAAGTTTTAAAATAGAAACAAGTCCCAACAAATGTCATCTAAAGGCAATTAACATGACAATTTTAATACAGAAACATGTAACAGAAGTAAAAAAAAAAAACACAGAATAAAATCTAAACACAAACATCCGGTTAGATCCTATTTACAATATGGTAAAGATAAATACAGTTTATCATGGCATTCACAGAATTCAATCCAAGAAAGCACAGCCAATCACATAGACACCGGTCCAAGGAGCAGATGACCTTATCTGGAAAAAAAAACAGGAGTTAGTGAACGAACACGATAGTATGTGAAATTTAAACACATAAACACTGGGAGAGGTAAAACTTTAACCAATAGAAGAGGGAAACACACAGGGAGAACCTAAAGTGAACAGAAGTGATAACTGTAAACAATGGATGCTTGGAGAAAATGCCTGAAAATGCTGCATTTGTTGGAGTCTACAGTCTATGGAAGTATATCTGTGTCGCTGGGATTTGAATTAAAAATGCCACTGAAATTTAAATATTGTATGTTTGTACTTACTGTTTCAGTGTTAGAATATCTTCAGAACACATTTTTAACCTAAAAAAAATCATTGTCATTATTTCTACTCAGTTGAAATTTCATTTGTTATTTTCTCTTCAAGCTAAAAATTCACATTACTATTTCAACGTGATTACATTTTCAATACTTATTTTTCAGTTTATTTTTTTAGTGTTAAAAAAATCTGCATATTTTTTTAGTATCTTCACTAATACTGATGAACATCTGGAAGCAATAAAGGTTTGTTACCTTCTTCTCCTGGGTGTAGCAGACTGATGGTTTAGCTGCGAGGTCGTCAACATTTTTTAGACTCCAGAATGTTGGAGAGACAAATAGAGGAGCCATGTTTCTCCTCCTTAGTGGACTGTGTGCTCCGTCCTCTTCTTCAGCTCCTTCATAAATGAAGCAAAGCATCCTCAGAGTCTTAACCTATCTGCATGTGATGTTTCTCTAGTCAAACCAACATACCTCCAAACATGTGTGGATGGATTCTGTTCCAATGTGATCCGACTGCTAGAACACTGCTAGCTGTTCAACCTGCTTTCCCTGTAAAAATAAGACAAATTAATCTACAGAATTTCCTCCACACCAAGTTGAAATCTGGGGCAGGATGTTGTTTTCATCATAATCTTGCACTTCCTGTGTTTCAGTGACTGTTAGCTTTTAATCAGGCCTGGGAAGCTTGAGTTGTCGGTTTGTCGTGTTAATAAAGTCTAACTCCGTGTGTTTTCTGTTCCAGTCTTTCTCTGTGCCGTCCTCAGGTGGGGACTGGAAAGCACCTCACCATCCTGGATGCCCCGGTTCCTCACAGGAGTTTTGCTTTTGGACGTCCACAGTGTCTGAACATACATGAAAAACTAAGTGAGGCCACCTGAAATGTTAACTATATATTTAAAAGATGGATTATTGTTGCTCCTTACTGAACATGCTCTCACTCTTTGTGAAGGTCAGCAGACCAGACGATCCTCCTCTGGTTTGGTCGCTGCAGATCTCATCAGCATCTTCTGATGGCCCAAAGCTTGGAGAGGCTCGGTCCAACATGGGATTCAAAAAACACAGAAGAGATCCACTGCGGTCAGGACAGGCCTAGATGATATGGAGAATATTTCTGCAGAGGGTTCTTTTCCCTCCAACTAGGCCTGAAAACTAACTAACCAGAGGAACATCTAGAACTAGACCACATCGGAAAGCCGTTTCTAACAGTCGGTGCTTCTCCTAACTCAAATCCTCACATCAGTCCTGTCCTCTGCCTCTAACTGGTCTAAATCAATTAGTCCCACCAAGTGTCATCTCTCTACCTTCTCACCAGCATCCCAGAGACCAGTTCAACTGATGATCACCACAAGCTGTGTCTCTGTTCCATTCTTTCCTGTTTTTCTCCTTTAGGGTTTAAGTTTGACCTCCTCCATTGTCCTCAGCAGTGATGTCCAGCTGTTTCGTTGAATTGGTTTGCCTCCTTGTGGTTGATTTTTTAACCAGGATTTAATTTCTGTCTTTTTGTGTTTTTTATTTATTTGTTTTTGTTGATTTGCCTCCATTCTGTGTTTAATCTTGTCAAAACTGCTTGGGTTTCCTTCTGTTATCTAGCAGAATGTCCACATTAGATATAGAGCATGTTAGACTATTTCTGCTTTATAAGTTGTTATCATTTCCTCAGATGTCTTTGCTAACAGAAATTCTTAACATCTAAAACTTGCATCAAAATCTAGCAGCGGGGTAAAGAAAAGCCAGGGTGCAAGACGCTACCTAAGGCATCCCTAGACCTGCCAGACTCCTTAGCATCTAAAAAAAGAAATCTAGCAGCGGGGTAAAGAAAAGCCAGGGTGCATGACGCTACCTAAGGCATCCCTAGACCTGCCAGATATAAAAACAATCTATAAATGATATCTAGGTGTGACAGTTTCCAGTCCTTCAGCCTTCCCACCTCCAAAAGTCACCAAATCAGCAATAAAATAGATTGTTGAAGGCGTTAAAGGAAGGTTCTTGAAATCCCTATTCTCAAACATGCCTCTCGCAACAAGGCCTCTTCCCAGGGGGCTCCTCTTCATCATCTTCCTCTCTTCTCCTTCTCCTGGAGGCACGGTCTTCTTGGCAGTCCGGGGAATCCTCCGGCTCCTCGTGGTTCCAAGAGAGTCTGAAGGGGGGGGGGGATCCTCAGGGTGAACCGAAGAGGAGGTGGAAGGTGGTCATTGTCTTCATCATCTTCCTCATCTTCGTCTCTTCTCCTTTTCCTAGAGGCACGGTCTTCTTGGCAGTCCGGGGAATCTTCATCGTCTTCTTCCTCAAAGCTTGTGGTGTCATATCCGGAGAACTCACTACATACCTCAAAAGACTCACTACAAAAAGACCTATCATCCTCAGCCTTATTCTCGTCCTTATCCTCATCCTTGTCCTCAGCCTCATCCTCGTCCTCAGCCTCATCCTCGTCCTCATCCTCATCCTCCTCGTCATCCTCAGCCTCGTCCTCAGCCTCATCAAGAGACTCACTAGAAAAAGACCTATCATCCTCAGCCTCATCCTCATCAAGAGACTCACTAGAAAAAGACCTATCATACTCATCCACAGCCTCACCCTCGTCCTCAGCCTCATCAAGAGACTCACTAGAAAAAGACCTATCATCCTCAGCCTCATCCTCGTCCTCATCCTCAAACTCTTCCTCATCCTCAACCTCGTCCTCAGCCTCATCAAGAGACTCACTAGAAAAAGACCTATCATCCTCAGCCTCATCCTCAAACTCTTCCTCATCCTCAACCTCGTCCTCAGCCTCATCAAGAGACTCACTAGAAAAAGACCTATCATCCTCAACCTCATCCTCATCGTCATCCTCAACCTCTTCCTCAGCCTCCTCCTCATCCTCAACCTCGTCCTCAGCCTCATCAAGAGACTCAGTAGAAAAATACCCTTCATCTTCAGACTCATCCTCAACCTCTTCCTCATCCTCAACCTCTTCCTCAGCCTCCTCCTCATCCTCAACCTCTTCCTCAGCCTCCTCCTCATCTTCAACCTCGTCCTCAGCCTCATCAAGAGACTCACTAGAAAAAGACCTATCATCCTCAGCCTCATCCTCGTCCTCATCCTCAACCTCTTCCTCCACCTCCTCCTCATCCTCATCAAGAGACTCACTAGAAAAATACCTATCATCCTCAGCCTCATCCTCGTCCTCAACCTCATCCTCTTCCTCAACCTCATCCTCTTCCTCTTCCTCAGCCTCCTCCTCAGCCTCGTCCTCACCCTCATCCTCATCCTCAACCTCTTCCTCAGCCTCCTCCTCAACCTCTTCCTCAGCCTCCTCCTCATCCTCCTCGTCATCCTCAGCCTCCTCGTCATCCTCAGCCTCATCCTCATCAAGAGACTCACTAGAAAAATACCTATCATCCTCAGCCTCATCCTCATCAAGAGACTCACTAGAAAAAGACCTATCATCCTCAGCCTCATCCTCGTCCTCATACTCATCCTCAACCTCTTCCTCATCCTGGTCCTCAGCCTCATCAAGAGACTCACTAGAAAAAGACCTATCATCCTCAGCCTCAGCCTTGTCCTCATACTCATCCTCAACCTCTTCCTCATCCTGGTCCTCAGCCTCATCAAGAGACTCACTAGAAAAAGACCTATCATCCTCAGCCTCAGCCTTGTCCTCATACTCATCCTCGTCCTCATACTCATGCTCAACCTCTTCCTCATCCTCAACCTCGTCCTCAGCCTCATCAAGAGACTCAGTAGAAAAAGACCTATCATCCTCAACCTCTTCCTGAACCTCGTCCTCATCCTCATCAAGAGACTCACTAGAAAAAGACCTATCATCCTCAGCCTCATCCTCGTCGTCATCCTCAACCTCTTCCTCAGCCTCCTCCTCATCCTCGTCCTCAGCTTCATCAAGAGACTCACTAGAAAAATACCCTTCATCCTCAGCCTCATCCTCCTCCTCATCCTCAACCTCTTCCTCAGCCTCCTCCTCATCTTCAACCTCGTCCTCAGCCTCATCAAGAGACTCACTAGAAAAAGACCTATCATCCTCAGCCTCATCCTCAACCTCTTCCTCAGCCTCCTCCTCATCCTCATCAAGAGACTCACTAGAAAAGTACCTATCATCCTCAGCCTCATCCCCGTCCTCATCCTCAACCTCTTCCTCATTCTCAATCTCTTCCTCAGCCTCATCCTCTTCCTCATCCTCAGCCTCCTCCTCATCCTCAACCTCGTCCTCAGCCTCATCCTCAACCTCTACCTCATCCTCTTCCTCATCCTCAGCCTCCTCCTCAGCCTCGTCCTCAGCCTCCTCCTCAACCTCTTCCTCAGCCTCATCCTCAACCTCGCCCTTAACCTCTACCCCCAAAATATCCTGTATCTCCACCTCCTCATTCTCCTCCACCACTACTGCTTCAGCCTCTACCTCCTCCTCCTCATCATCAGAAGAAGCTTCCTCCACCTCCTCAATGTGTAACTGTTCTCTCAACCTCCTCATCCTTCTCCTCAGTCCTCCCATGAGGTTATTAAAATTGAAATTAAAATTACCCAGTTCCTGAATCCAGAACGGGAGCTCCGGGTCAGGAAGGGCAGCGACTGGAACAGTGAGGGAAAGAAGTCATTAGACCAGGAACCTTGATAAAGGAACATTAAATAAAAAATTTAATGCTTTATTTTAGGTTGCTGGATGTGCCTGTGTGAGTTTGTCAGGTTAAAGTAGATTTAATCAATAAGAACATCGATCTGTGAGCTAAAATAACCCAATAAAAAACATATTAAGAATGTTAGTGGTTTGGTTAGTCTTAAAATAAAAATGGACATTGTTGTAAAAGAGACAATAATACAAAAATTAATACACACAGAAATATTAAAAAATATGTATATATGTGCGTATATGATTATCAGCCTGAGGAGGATTTTAATTACTTCACCATCACATTGAGGATATCTTTTAAATCACAAGACTGCCATTAAATTTTAATTTTTTTTTAAATGTAAATGTTTATTTTACTGTTTAGTAGGGTTTAGAATTTATTTTCAGAATATTATCAAATAATGAATGTTCCATTTATTTAGTTTATTTCTACCAGGCTTCCTACAATGAGACTGAGCTCCCCCTAGGTAGGGCTGGGTATTGTTCAAAAATCTTCGGTGCCGGTACCAATACTGATACCTTCACTTCGATACCGGTTCCTGAACGACACTTTTTTCGATACCAGTTTTATAATATCAATTCGAAGAAAAAGAAAATTACACAACATAATAAAGTACAAATCTTGAGTTTTATTTTAAGCTCTGATTTTTCCATTTACATTTTTCCTCTTACATAATTATTTTTTTCAGTGAAGAACAGTTGCAAACAAGTCAGTGTCTAATATTAACTGTAACATTGTGAGGACCTTTTTACTTAGCAGTTTTTCTTTAGAAAAATTAACATGTCTACTTTCTCAGGAGACAAACAAGCCCGTTGAATGGGATCCTACTAACGGCACACCGCTGGTATGTGAGGGTCTGAGCGGCTCCGACAGAAATAATATTGGAAGGCAGGATGGTAATCTGGATGAACTGACTGCACTGATTTAGTTTTCAGGTGGATTGTCCCACTTAAAAACATAATAAAACTACTTTATTCCACTGATCACAGCAAATATAGCTGCAAGGCAAATAAAGGATAGAGTAGCTCCGCCCAACGCCCAGTAGCCACTTTTCAACTGCGCAGCCACAGCAGCAAAGCTGCTTCAGCCGCGCGTCAGAAGCTGGTATAACATCAAAAAAGGAAGCAGCAGACACGATTTTGCTGCTCTTGTTGCGTCCGGTGTGAAAGCAGCATGATTCACTCCGCTCTGGCTTTGCTCTGCCCACGGGCTGCTGAGAGGAGGATGGTTGCGCTGGCTGTGGTCCGCTCTTCTTGCAGTCAAACACCGCGCAACTTTCTGCTCTTAAATTGTTTCCATGCACGATGTATTGCATTGCGCACTATTGGCATCAGTCTTAGTAAAGTGAAGCCACACTTTTGACCTGGGGGGCATTTTAAAGGGGTTCCATGACGCTCGCAACCAGGTCACAACAGATACACATGAACCCTGGCTGTAGGCGTGACCACGTATCTATTTTTCCTGGATGACGCAATCAGATTAAGTGTTACAGCCAATCACCGAAACTTGGTACCGAAAGACAAGGCATGTTTCGATACTCTGTAGAACCGAAGCATTTCGGTCAGTACCTTAAAAGAACTGATGTTCGGTACCCAGCCCTACCCCTAGGAGGCACCCACCCCCCTTTGGTAACTACTGACCCAGACTATGCATCTAGATTAGTTCAGATTGAAGGACACTTTAAGCTGCCAGTAAACATTTTTTGCATTAAACTCATACTACCAAATTAGAAATTGTTTTGATCCATTAAATATATTTCTTTATCAGAAAAAAAAGCTTAATTGGGTGATTTAGTAATATAATCATACATCTTTGAAGTTTATTTA